AGCACTGATCCCTGTGGGACATCTTTGGAGGTTGCTGTCCAATCTCAGCCTTCCACTACTACTACCACCCTCTTGAGAAGAGAGTTCTGGACCAATGCCTCAAGTAAACCAGCATTTTAACTTGCATTATTGCAGGTTTGTAGGGATTTCAAGGACAATTGACAACTTTTTTTGGCATGCTGTTTGTTTTGGTATTGGGTAAAATTAACAAGCAAAGTTTAACATGGACAGCTGATGCAGAAAGCCGTAGGTGATAATGTGTTGATTAGCTACAAGTGCTGAAATACACCCAGTTTGCCTGGGAGACTACTTTCAAACTTGTGGTTATGCAACTACTTAAGAATCTTCAAGCCTTGTTGTTTATTTTAACAAAATGACATCCAAGTAGCTTGTAATCTATTAACTTTGAACATATCCAATTACAGACTCCATGAATTAATGTTTTCAGATGTGTTTATGACTTGACCTTGAATGAACAAACATACCCCTTAATTGGATAAAGTAGTGAACAGAGTTTACTCTCCCTCTGCTACATGTTACCTCAGTGTCCTATTCCATAGTGTGCACATCTCAAAACCACAAATCTCCCACTTAAAAACAGCAGAGTAAAAATATAACATTTGTCCATTCTGACTACATGAGTGACATTTCACCTTTCAAAAGGTGATGCTTGCAGGGGGTGTGGAAGTCAGCAAACTGCTTCAATATGACAACACTAAGCTGCACTGCCAAAGGAACTCTACTAAGTGTTTATTTTTGATCCATGTTTCAAAGAGTTCCTTTTCATTTTGGTCTTTAATAAACTTTTGGATTTAAAATGTGCTCACATCATGTGGAACAAGATGGAGCCAGGGGATTAAAGATTCCCATGGTGGAAGTGATTCAGAAGAGATTAGGTTCTTAACCATTCAGAAGTGCCTGTTTTTGGGTACAATGATTCAGTATCAGAAAGGAGACAGTGGAGGTTTGTATTGCACATTTGGTTATGCAGAATTCAGAAGTTCAATGAATTATAATTCTGAAGTTTTGGTCACTAACATCAAGACAAGTGGCAACTATTGGCACACAATTTGAAGAACAGTGAACCAAACAATTGATCTTTTTCAGTTGAGAACAATCCCATCCATTTGTCTTACACCTCAACAACCTATGCAGCCTAAAAAAGGGAATCTTTTACCATCATCTGAACAGGTCAATCTAGTTTACACTGCCTTTCAGAGAAGGCATGGAATATTCCTTTTTAGGGCACTAGAATTTCAATATTCCAGGTTTGAAATGTGGGCTGAACCAATTATTTACTAACTCTGATTTTAGTCCTAAAGGCAATGCCTGCATGCACAGTCAAGACTGATTTTATTCTTGGCTCAGTGAAGTGGATAATCTTGAAAGTTTGCAGGACAACAGGGAAAGGATTCAAGAATAGTGTTAGTTATGTTGCTGTTGGAGAGCCAGAGACATAGGCTGTAGGGCCAAATGCCAACCCCCACCCCATGCTGCAGCCATTCCACAATTGAGGATGTTATCAACGCAACAAAATTAGTGAGTTTGAATGATGGAGAAATGTCTTTAATTTTTAAAAATCAGAATCATAGTCAGATTCATAGAGCACAGAAAACAGCCCCTTCTGTCCAAGGCCACACCAAACATATTTCCAAACTGAACTAGTCCGTCCTGCCTGCACATAGCCCATATCCCTCAAACCTTGCCTATTCATGTGCTTATCTAAAGTCTCAAAAGGTTGTAACTGTGCCTGCATCCTACATTTTTTCCTAGTTTTAAAGTGTGTCTCACATGAGCCTCCACGTTATTGAAGGGTTAGAGAAAAGCAAGTCCAAACTCAACAGAATAATGCAATTAATTGATTCAGCATAAAGTTACCAAAGGGCAAGTAGTAGTTGAGTCAAAAGAGCAACTTGATCTTTCCTCTTCTATTCCATAGAATCCCTACACTGCACATGGAGGCCAAACAGCCTCTTTGAATCTGCACCAACCTTCTGAAGACTATCCCACCCAGACCCAGCCCCCCACCCTATCCTGTAACCCCACATTTACCATGGCTAATCTATGTAATCTGCACATCTCCAAATCCATGGGACAATTTAGCATGGCCAAGTGATAATAGTGAGGCCTTGGCAAGGGGGGGGGCAGGGTGGAGGGAGGAGGGAGGAGAAAAACCAGAATTGGAATATGTAATAACAGGGCACCTATGTAGGTCACAGGAATTAGCATGAGATGGGACAAACAGTAGATTTTAAAATGACAAGATACTACGTAGGATAAAGTGTTCAAGATTAATCAGAGAACATATGGGAACATGCAGCAAGTACCAAAGGCACAGATAAGACTTCCCACACAAGTGAGCTGGGAGGAGTGGAGTCAGGCAATAATCACAGTGCCAGATCAAGGTGGTCTGTGACAGCATAGATTTGTATTGATATCAAATTGTAACAATAAAAACCAAGAGAACTGCAGATACTGTAAATCAGGAACAAAAACAAAGTTGCCAGAAAAGCTCAGCAGGTCTGGCAGCATCTGAGAAGGAGAAAACAGAGTTAGTGTCAGGTCCGGTGACCCTTCCTCAGAACCGATGGCGGCTGACAGTTTCCCAGCCACCAGGCCCGACACAGTAACTCTTTTCTCCTTCAGATGTTGCCAGATCAAATGTAACAATGTTGCAATCCATCTGCCGTAGCCAGAGACAGTTACAAGGGAGAGAAATGGAATTGGTAGCTAAACAGTTTTGGGAAGGCAATGAATTAAAAATTGCTAAGATTGAAGCCAAAGATATTTTTCTCATTTAGTACTATATTGGACAAGCAGCCCAACTTTAGCAATAGTGAAGAAGTCCAGAGAAATGGTGGTACTGTAGAGTGCAACCACAATCAGCCTGCATGTGTTTTCTCCATGATGCCCAACGCAGCAAATGGAGGAGAACTCACAGGGCCCCAACATTAGATATTTGTAAACAGTAGAGATAATGGTGCAAGTGCAGGAAAAGATTAATGATATTCTGACTACAATTACCTGGTTTCATCCTCAACTGGAGGGAGAGGGTGCAGTCAACCACGTTAAAGATTGCAAACAGGTAGAGAAGGGATAGTTTATTTTCATCATTCACTGGAAGTAATTTGTGGTAGGACAGAAGCTGTTTGTTTGGAGGGAATGAAGGATTTTCCAGAAAGGCAGCCCCATGCCAGGAGTAGGTGGTGTGTTTTGCATAAAAAAGGAACTGTTACCAAAAAAGTATGATTGTTCATGAGAAACAAAAAAGTCCTTCATGTTAAATTTAAAACAATTGCTAAAAATTCAATTGCCAAGTGAGTTTCAACCAAAAATAGTATGGCTACTCATGAGTCAACATTACAGAACAAATTTGTACTTGCCTCTGAAGGCTCATTCTGAATGTACTACCACGGTCTGGTACTGAGCCAGTTCCAACCCTACATGTGTGTTACATTAGCTAATTTTAGCTATTGGCAATGCCTGCAGACACACATCAAGGTAGACACAAGAATGACCTTTGGGCGAGGCCCTAGGCATTATTATCCACGGAACTACACCCAGTGAGCAACAGAACACTGTCAAAAAAAGAGACATGTATCAACATAAAAGACAGACTTTAAAATAATGTGGGATTATATAGCCCATGATATCAAAGATAGCATGAAGCTGCCCAAAAACCCCAAACCTCAGACTAGCCAGTTCTTGAGACTTACTGTTTTGCAACTTTACTGCTAATCAGGTTTGAGTTGAAGGAGAGATGGTCCCTTTCACATGTGCCTTTAATATGTTAAAGGCACAAGGACGAACAATCAGACATGCAAACTCAATGAGACTGTCGCTTGGTACTATCTAGATTTTTAAAACCAGTAGCAAACATTAACTTTTGAAATACGAGTTATTACGTTCTATTTTCCATTCCGAGTCCTGTGAAAACGCACGAGAATTTTATTTGACCTTGCACCGCCCATGAAGCCGTGGTGACTATTTACACCTATAATTGAAAATGACGCCTGATAATTAACTTGCATTACTTCGAGTTAATTTTTACGTCCTTGACCTTATTTAGAAGGAAATTCAAAAAGTTCCTAAAAAAAGTCATAACTCAAAAATGGATTCCGAGTGGGTGGTTCGAGAGAGGAGCCTTGCTGCATTGAAGCGGGACTTGACTAAGTTGTCGAGGGTGGGGAGACAAGCAAGAGTGAATGATTAAGTGTAGCTAAACTCTGATAAAAACAGGCCATTGTCCTCATGCTGCAGCCTTACGCGCAAGCATCAACTAAACTGCCAAATAAGGTTCCTTCCATTACCCTCTAGACTACTTTTAGGAAAGAATCTCATACATGACGCATTGCAGGAAGCTTTGAGTCATTTTAGTTCCGTTAGAAATTGGACAACGTCCAAATATCAAAATAGTTAAGATAAAATAACCAAAATTAACCAGTACGTTTACAAACAAACTATAAACTAGTCCCCCTTAACAGGGTGGAAGAGGTCTAAGTAGGTGAGCGAGCGAGCTTGATCCGATGCAAAATAACACGCGCTACCAAATCAAGTCAGTTTCGTTTCCAAAACTGTCAAAGTGTGGAGAGAGAGTATAGAAAATCTCGTTACAAAGTAACAGATCAGTTGTCTGTTTGAAAGGCAGCCTGCGATTGGCAGTGAGCCGACCCATTCACTGTGTCTGCTACCGATTCCAAAGCACTTCGCAGTGAGAGCAGTAACTCGGGAGCTGGCAGTTATTGCGCTGCTCCACTCCAACTACTTCAAAAAACCCATCTTCAGCGTCAGGAGGGAAGGGTAGCTGCAGCGGAAACTGAAGTTTCAATGCAGTTGCAGAGAGGAGGAGGGGAGAGGAAACGGCAGTCGAAACTTGCAACAAAACCTATGAAATAAAAGCTCAGACTTTTTTTCCAAAAAAAAAACTCAATTGTACAGGAAGTCGTGTAAATGTACGCCAGGTTTACACAAGTAAAAATTGATGTTAGTTAGCTACTTACCGTTTTTGGCATTTTGCTTTCTTGCAAACTTCCTCCACTTCCAACTGAAACTTTGTTCAAATGAACAGTTTTTCTTTCTGCAAATCTCCGGCTTCTGTTTTAAAACCAGATGCTTCTGCTGCCCATCGGCTTCTGGCCGCTCTCCTGCGATTCAGGATGGAAAAAAAAATCAGTTCGGATCTATCACGCCCTCTTCAAAGCGAATGGGTAGGAGAAAAAGGAGCCTTAAGCTATTCAAACTGCACGCTACTAACCGTCTCCACTCGCATTTAATATTGAGCCACAATCCCCCAACTTCCTGCTAACGGAACTCAAATGTCTGAATCTGACACCACACCCAGGAAAACGTTCACGTTTTTAAGTGATGAGGAAATAGACCCCGCCTCGCAACGTCGGAATTGGCTTCTGGGTTACCAATGATTTTCTGTACAAAAGTAGATGAAGTATATATAACATAGATATTTTCCAATATTTATATTCTTCATATTTTTATATAACTTTAGCAAGTGCTAGTCATAAAGAGATATAAAAGTGGTGATTCGAGTTCAGTTAACATATCAATGGGGAACTGGAAGTTATTTATTGAGAAGTGGAATGTGAGTTCTCAAAAAAAAGCATCAATGACACTTTATCAGTGCATTAGAGAGGAACTTAAAGTTGGGCGTTAACAGTGTGTGCTATAAAATGACCGTGCATGAACTATAGATGGATCAAGCTGAATAGAATGAATGGCCTTTGCTCTCTGTGGACCTTATACAAATAGAGTCATAGAGCCGTACAGCACTGAAACACACCCTTCCATCCAACGTGTCCATTCTGACCAGATATCCAAGATAAATTTCGTCCCACTTGCGAGCATTTGGCCCATATCCCCTCTAAATCCTTCCTAATCATATACCCATCTAGATGCCATTTAAATGTTGTAATTGTACCAGCCTCCACCACTTCCTCTGGCAGCTCATTCCATACACCACAGCCCTCTGCATGAAAAAATTGCCCCTTAGGCCCCTTTTAAATCTTTCCCCTCTCACCTTAAATCTATGCCCTCTAGTTTTGTACTCCCCCACCCTATCCATGCCCCACATGATTTTATAAACCACTATAAGGTCACCCCTCAGACTCTGACTCTCCAGGGGAAATAGCCCCAGCCTATTCAGCCTGTCCCTATGGCTAAAACACACCCACCCTGGCATCTGTTTCCAAGAAGCAACCAGCATGAGCTGAATGGCCTCCTTCTGTCACTTGTCTTTCAGGTATACCCACCTTGAAGAAGTTCTGATCTTTTCTGAATAGATTTCCATTTGTATCCTTGAAAGTATTCACCTTCATTTCTTCCTATTTCCCTCATTGTGTTTAATAAAATTTTAGAACTCCCTTTCACAGCCATATCTCCTTTCTCAGTGACTGTCTCCAGCTCTGACTTCATGGATTTCAATTGAAGTGCCAGCCTTTGTGTTTTGAATACACCCAGGATGACAAATAGATCAAAGATCTAAACTCAACTCTCCCTGGACGTCTGGTCCCAATGTACCCTGAGTTCCACTCTCGGTATCACACACCACCATGTGGATACTTTTCACGGCTGTCAATACGACCTCACGCTATCTCACGGTTGTCCTGGATCTCAGTTCCATTTCATTCTTTGTCTTGTTCAACACCTAGATAAGAATTGTTTTCCTTTCAAGTGTTAAGGCAATAGTTCCAAAGAAAAATCATTGGACTCAAAAGATTAACTGTTTCTCTCTACAGATGCTGCCAGATCTGCTGAGTTTCTCCAGCATTTTCTGTGTTTATTTTAGATCACCAGCACCTGTAGAATTTTATTTTGTTTGGGTGCCTAGATCTGTGCCATATATACTTTGGTGAAAAGCATGTTAATGTTGAGATAGTGACAAGACATTCAATTGCCAACCACGTCTACTGTAGAATAACTTGAATTTTTGATAGCAGTTTATTTTACTGGCATTTTGTATTGTACCATCTCTGAACTTATTTTGTCCATGAGGCCCCCCCCCCCCGCTCAACTAGACAATTGATCTCCCAAGTTTTCCAGTTTTTGAATGAGCTGATAATGTTTCCCTCTCCTGAAGGTACTGTTCGTCTCCGTCAAATCTGCCATCAACATCCCTTGCCTCAAAATTCAACTCTTTACTTCTTTACTTTACTCTTTACTTCCAAAATGCCACCTCATCTGCAACATCAATTTCCTGTCCAAAGACATCAAACGTGATGCCTCCCAAATGCAACGCAATTTGTTTTGGCATTCCTTGGTTGGAACCCTTCTGTCATGTTTCTGTCCCTGCTATGGTACCAAAGAAACTCTTATCAATGTTACAAATGACATTCTATGTGATTGGGACAGTGATAAACCATCCCTCAATTATCTTGATCTATGTGGAACCTTTACACCATTGACCTGCATTATCTTTCTCCAATTCCTCTCTGCCAACATCTGGATGAGATTGCCTGCTTCCATTCTTACCTATTCAATCATGGCCGAACCTTCAAAAGGGATTCTCTTCCAGCAATGCAGTATTACTCTTGGTGTCTCACAGAGATCTATCTTTCACCCTTACCTTCCATTCCAATCACAAACTCTGTACCTTCACCACCAAATCCAACCTCTCCCTCCCAACTTTCTGAGTCCAAACCAGAATGTTGTCAACCTTCCTGACATAATTGAACCTTAGTTGAGTTTCTAACCACATTCGTGTCATCGATGAAATTGTCTAATTTCATCTTTCTGAAATTCTGCCCTGGCTCAGCTCATCTCCTTTTGAAACTTTCTTCATCCTTTTATGACATTTAGACTTGATTATTCCAATGTCTGCCTAATATACCCTTACATAGCTCAGTCAGTTTTGTTTGATAATTCCCTTGAACGGCACCTTGGGATATTAAAGGCCTTTTGTAAATGTTAATTGTTATTGATGCCTGATTAGTATTTTAGAACCGATGTCTAATTTCCAGTAATATTATTGATAACAATAATCAGTAGCCACATTGGAAAGCAAAATAGCCCAGTATTAATGACATTATCAAATCTCTTGGATTGTTTCTGATACTTAAGCATGCAAGTTCTTCAGGGCATACCATATGGGATACACACATCAAAGCTAGTAATGTATGGTCTCTTTATCTAAATGAATGCTCCATCAACACTCATTTAGGACAAAGCAACCGCTTGGTCAACATTCCATCTACCAATCTAAATATCCATTCCCTCCACCACCGATATACAGTACAATACACAAAATGTACTGTAACAATTCAACAAAGCTCTTTCAACAGTACCATCCAAACCCATGACGTTGAATATTTAGAAGGACAAGAAGAACAGATACTTAGGAACACCTCCACCTGCAAGATGCACTCCAAGCCACATATCGTCCTAATTTGGAAATATATCACAGTTCCTTTCCTGCCCTTGTATCAAAATCCTGGAACTCCCTTCCCAACAGCTTGTGTGTATCCCTATACAACATGGATTGCAGCAGTTCACAAAAGTAAATCACCACTTTCTTGACACAGTTAGGGATGGGCAACAGATGCCATGCCAGTGATGCCAACATCCATTGAAAGAATATAAAAGCTTGCCATAAAAACAAAGAGGTGCAGATGCTAGAGATCAAAAAACAAACCAAAATAGAAATTGCTGGAGAAACTCAGCAAGCCTAGCAGCATCAGTGGACAGAAAATAGAGTGAATGTTTCGTGCCCAATGACTCTTCAATGTAAAAGGCACCACATAAATCCCAAGTTTCTTTCTTTGTTCTTGCACAAAGTGTCAAATTCAAAAAGAATTCGATGCTTGTTGCTAATTTGGTGTGTTACAAATCACTGAAGGAGGCTGAGTTGCTGAGAAAACTTGTACTTTGCATGCAAATTGTAGTCTGAAGCCATAGAGAGCAAGGTAGAGGCTATAGGTTTCTTTCCATCATATGGCTGACCAGGAATCTCTTTCACTTACCATATGCCATTGACATTTGTAGGTTGATCAACAACATGTTTGACCACATTTTAAATGTACCTTGACCATCAAGTCCTGGGATGGGACTCAAACCCAAAACCTCTCTGCAGGGACACTACATTGCACCAGAGGGCTTCCTGTTATAAGTTTATTGTAAAAACCACCAATGTCAGAATTATCTTTTTGAAACATGGCTTTCATAGTCTAATTTATCAGCCTTCAGGTGCATCTCTTGCTGTTTTTCGTTGGAAATGAATATCCATGTTGAATGCGAGCCCATTCAACACGACCTTCCATTTAAACCACATAGTTTGGGTTTTTGTGACCGAAGCTAATAACTAAAGAACAAAACTGGCCTTTAACTTAACAATCATAAGATAATTCTGATCAATCACTAAAAAAAGATAAAAGAGGGTTTATTTTCTTGGTATGGTTTTAGACAAAATGCAATACAAAACATTTTTGTAGTTGCAGTTCTTTTGTTTGATATTAGAGTTAAAGTGGCTGTGGTGAACATAGTTTGCTATTTGTGCTTTGGCACCATAGCTTCTGTAGCAGTGTAGGAGCTTTCTTATTCCTAACAAATCTGGTTGCTACTGATGTATATACGCTCGTGCAGTTTGGCCTGGTGGATGACCCTGATTTCCATCATTCTACCATAGCAGCAATGCCTTCAGCTGCTTAGCCTAAGTTCAATAATTTTTTTCATAAATCTGTGTGCCATGCTTCTCTCTCCTTCGAGATGCTTCTTAAAACCTACCTGTTTTATCAACTTTTGTTTAGCAGTCCTTAGTATCTACTGATGTGGCTCAGTGTCAAATCTAGTTTGAAAAATCTCTTGCAAAATGCTTTAAGATGTTTTACAACATTAAGGGTGCAAACTGCATTAAATTGAATGACTGTGATGTAATTTCAAAGAATACAAGGCAAAGCGTGTGACGTGTGACAATTGTACTGTGTTATGACTATAAAATTGCTTCAAAAAACGATGTGAAACATTATTTTTTAAAGTTAGGGTGAACAGGAGAACTCTTCTAAGCTTTGTAACATCTGCATCAATAGATTCCCAAGTTCCAGTCCAAATCATACACCATTCTGACTTGGAACGATATCTCCATTCATTCACTGTCACAGAGTCAAAATCCTAGAAGTCCCTGTATAACAATACACTGTGGTGTACCTACGACCCAAGGAGTGCCGCTGTTCAAGATATCAGCTCATCACCAGGAACTCTAGGGATGGGCATTAATGCTGGCCATGCCAGTGATGCCAATATTTCATGTATGAATAAAAGAAATATATCCCAGCCCTATATTTAGGGTCCAGTTCTGGGCTGCCTGATATCACGCCAGCTCATGTTAAACTCCAGAAAACCAAATGGCAAAGCTTAGAGATAGTAAGAACTGCAGATGCTGGAGAATC